CTGACAGAAACACAAATAGGTTACCTCCAGTTTGGGAGCTAAGGCTTGATATGTGCAGGTCTTATTGAGCTAAAATCTCCAGGTGTCCCCAGGCCTCCATTCCTTCCTGAAGCTCAACAGCAAACATTGATTTCCTTGTGCTTTCCACTTTCTAGAAGCCCACTCCCTTCATGGCCCATGACCTCTTTCATGTTCAAAGTCAGAACTGGTAATTAAGTCTTTCTTACATTGCCATACTGACACTGACTCCTTTTCTCCTCCCATTTCCACTTTTAAGAACACGTGTGATGATATAAGCTGGCCCTGGACACTTGTGGTTCTATTAGCTGGGCCTGGCGGAGTAAAGGTTTTGCTTTGGGCTGATGGCTGCAAGGTCAGAGTTCCAAACCACTAGCCACACCTTGGGAGAAAGATGAGGCTTTCTACTCTCTAAAGAGTCAGTCTCAGAAAACCACAAGGGCATTTCTACCCTGCCTCATAGAGTTGCTATGAGTTGAAATTGACCCAATAACAGTGAGTTCAGTTTGGGGTCTGATTTTATTGGCCTGCAGCCCGGATAATTTAGCTACATTAAAGTCAGCTGACTAGCAAACTCAATTCCAACTGTAACCATCATTCCTGTTACTACATAACATATGTATCATAGGTGCTGGGGAATAGAATGTGAACATTTTGGGGAGCCGTTATACTGTCTACCACACCTATTTTTATTCTAGGGAAGGATAATGAGTTGGGAAACACATATTACTATAAGGTATGCACTCAAAACCCACTACCACTAAGTCAATTTCAACTCAGAAATCCTACAAGACAGGGTAGAATTTCTCCCCAGTGTTTCTGAGAGGGTAAATCTTTTTCTCCATGAAGTGGTAGGTGGGTTTGAACAGTTCACCTTTTGGTTAGCAGCCCAATATGTAACCCAATACACTACAAAAGTACTATATGGATCTAATAAAATGCTATGTTCCATGGCAGACAGAATTGGAGGTTAAGACATTTGATTTTATTCCTGACTCTGCTCATCATTTTGCTCATCTTGGACAAGTCACTTAATCCCTCTACTATCAGGTCCCACAATTCTAAAATAAAAGAATTGAGAGAGAAGCCAAGGTCATATGGAGACCTGTTCTAATATCATCCTTGTTCTTATATTGCAGATGATATGGGACAATAAGGGATAGAAGGTATGCTGCCTGAGCACACAACTCTTCCTAGAAAGGAAACATGTTCATTGAGGCTAGTAACTCAGAGTTACAGAATATGGTGTGGCTATAGGGAATTAGCGTTGGTGGGGTGAGGCTCTTGTTATGAGTCCTCTCTGGGTGGTGCTAACAGATACCACCTTCAGCTGCTAACCAAATGACTGAAGATTCAATTCAACCTAGAGGTGCTTTAAAAGAAACAACAACAACAAAAAACCAATAATCTACTTCCCCCAAAATCAGCCATTGAAACCCCACTGGAACACATTTCTACCCTGACCCACATGAATCAGAATCACCTCAATGATCACTGGTTGGAGTGGTTATCACCACCACTGAGGCAGAAGGAAAGGAGAGAAGGGAGAAGAAAAGAGACCTAGAACTGGGGCAGGAGTCTCTCTCTGCTGGGCCTTGCTAGAGAGAGGCAGTCAGTGAACCACAGATCTGCCCTAGCATTTGGATTCTTTGCAGAGATCACAATGGTGGAACCCAACACAAAACTGCATGGAAAAGGAATTTACCCAAGAAATCTTTGATAACATTGCTTAAAGACTGCAAGATTTGATAATATTGCAAAGAAGGTAGTTTCCTCGGGCACAGAGCAGAGAGAAAATTGGAGGGAGGATGTGGAGAGGCACGTGGAAGACACCAGACACGAAGCTGCGTCTGTATCTATGTGATTTTATCTGACAAGGGAAATGATCTCCCATTATAAACCCACTGCATCCATCTTCTTTGGGGATAGTTTTAGAAAACAGAGTTATAAGGTGGACTTTTAAGCTAGTAAAGTATAAAATTCATGATAAATATAATTCACGGAAAATACATCTTACTCATTCATACATTTCAACTGTGTAATGCTTCTCTTAAGTAGTTGATGACAGTAAGAAACAATACAAAATTATTTTCAAAGCAGTTGGGTGTTCACTTTTCTCTTATTTTTAGCCTTGTTATCTCCCATTTCATATTTTATTTTTGCTTCATTTTAATGATCTCAAATGGCATATTTTTTAAAAAGATGTTCTGAAAGAGCTTAAGCTGTCTGTAAGTCTCACTTGATTCAAAAATCTATTTTAAAAACTAGATTGTAGGTCTGAAAATGAGAGGATGAGGGATACCAGCTATAAGTTAAATAATATGGCAGTACAAATTTCATTTCTAAGATTAATTATTGTTTACTCATTCCAAATTTAAATTCATGTTATTAAAAAAATTCATTTGCGTGTTTGTTTAACAAAATATAAACAGCAAACCCAACTGACTGAGTAAAATTAGATCACTTCATCTATGGTTCAATATCTCAATCAAAGTTAAGTTAGTAATCAAATGGCAAGATTGTATATTTGACCATCTTCTCTTCTTTCATTTACCTTTTTTCTGATAAAGGAAATTCATGCATTAAGGCAACTTGGAGTTAAAAAGAACATGGTATGCAGTTCTTTACTTTTTGCCTTTTCTTTTTCATGGCTTTTTTCTAAAGACAAGATCAGGAAAAGCCAGATTCAACTATGTAGATGACTATGATGATAGAATAAGATTTGGTCTTTCTTAAAATAGGTTTTGTAAACTGAGAACCACAGATTGTCTGCTTTAAAAATCCAGCTCAAACTCATTCACTCATTAGATTAAAAAAGAGAAAATAATTTGATTCTTGCTTTGAAAATATACAATGGCATATTTTTCCTATGGAGATATGGTTCTCATATATTCAATTATTCAGTTTCGTGTAGATAAGAAAATAGTAACAGATGTGACAAAAATTGAAATATTTGAAGAAAATATATCTGCAATTAAATACATAAGTAACTGAGAGTTAAATTAATGAAAATCGCAGCCATATCTTATTCATCTTGGCCTTTCCCATGCCTTGCACAGAACAGATGTTCAATAACAAATTGTGTTCTTCTCTTTCATGGGACTGTTGGTTAAGTACTCTTTTTAAGTGACGAGTACATATTCTTACATAACGTAATGTGTTTGGTATATAAATTGTTCCTTGACCAATCGGTACCACAACTTCACAGCTCTCTGACATTCATCCCTCCCTAACCTAAAAATGAAATGCACTATCATTAAAACCCAAGGCATTCTAAGAAATGTAAGAACTATTTTGTGGCACTATTATTTGTTGAGGTTTTGCCATCCATCAAATGCTGAAATAATATTTGCTCCATTAGTTAACAGGTTTCCAGTATAATATGGGAAGCAATCTCTTTATTCATGCCCAGTTTTCTTTCATCAATCACTGGAAAAACCTCCAGACAGAGGCGTGCAGGATTGATGTGTGGGTGGCTAGTCAAAGGGAGAACAAGGGTTTCCTCTAAAGCTGAGGTGTATCCAAGCACCTACTTTAAGAAAGATGCCCTTAAGGGAAGCATTATAGGGCTAATGCTCTGTCAGAATTATGTTCTTAGAAAGATTACTTTGCAAGGTTTTTAGAATAATAGTAAACAGTTAGCCTGGAAAAAAAAAGAGTGCTATTTAGAGAAATCTTTGGAGTTTGCTGTGTATTGACAGAAAACTCCCATTCCAACTGAATGCGATTTTCGAGTGATCCGAGAAAGCAAGCGCTAGAGCAAGGATTCAAAGGATTCAAAGCACCATTTGCATTTCCCAGTTCAACCTGGGAGATCACAACCCTACTTCATGTTCTGTTTTTCCTTGTATCCCCTCGCTTTTTTCTTTCCGCCACTCAATTACCTTTCTGCCTTCCTTTCCCTCTTCTGCTCTCTCACACAGGCCACAGAAACTTCACAGGATAAGAAACAAAATCGACATTGTTCACGTGAATGCTCAACATGGTGGCAATTTATATTAATGAAAAAAGATCACACATCTTTCCTAATCCCCTAGGCAACCTGACACTGAGGAAGCCCTGGCTAGAGGGCTGGACTGCACTGGCCGAGGAGGCTCCAGTAGACACTGGTGCTGAATGGCAGCTTAACCCCTTTGGAGTCCCATCGTTTTCAACACTCAGAGAACCTCTCTCATTAGTCTTTTAAAATAAAGTACGACATTCCAACATCAAACCTCATGCTGTTAAATTAACAACATCACACTGCTACATACGACTTGCATGTCTCCCATAACTGAATGACTGGAAAAACACTGTTCAGATTTCATTTACCAGTTTAAAAATAGCAAACTCTAATTTGAAACACACACACACCACACACACCTCCACACACCCTCACGAATATTCCCTCTCAGAGCTAAGCAATATTCCTGCCTACAAACATACATACAATTCAGCCTAATCATAGGTTTTAAAAGTCAGATTTGTCAAAAGATGATGTTTGTTATGAAACAAATCAAGAAGAAAATATTCTTTAGAGCCAAAATGACAAGCTACAATCTGTCTGGTATAACAATGGCTATTTACCTTTTTTTTTTTTCTTTCTAAGTATAAGTCAAAATCATTCTTTGTTTATTTTGACTTGAAGATCACCCATAGATTATTATACTCTTTCCCAGTGAAATCTCCTCTTGGGTGGGTAGGTACAGAGCAAAATAAATCACAGATTTGAAACATCTTAAAACGGTATTCTATATACATATTTTGTAAAATGGAAAATTTGTTTTCAAATTTTGACACTTTGTAGATCCAGAAATGATCTTAAAAATAAAATACAATGAGGCTAGATGCTCACAGACCCCTTTAAGTTCACAGACAATCCAAAATATCATCACTGTGTCTCTTACAAGAAGGGGTTCCTCTTCACACAACGGCAGAAACACTCAAAATACACAGGCATTCCAATCAAGCTCTGAGAGACCTTACTTTACGCTTTAACTCACCGCTGGGTGTAAGGGTCGGGGCAGTACTCTAAGGTGGCACACCGAGAAGTTTCAAAATTCATTTTCTTGAACTCTCTTTGTTATCAATAAAAGGAAAATGATAATATAACATACACACGTATACCTATGTAGATACATATACAGCCAGGAGAATAGAAGCAGTAGGGTCAAATGCTATCAGACATAGAAATTTAGACACGGCCCCCCACCCCCCATCTCTACCCACACCACATTCATATCGACAAAGAGGCGGAGCATTCCTTGTGTCCAGCCAATGAGATTCATCCAGTGACTAAAATATCATAAACAGTGGATTCTTACCAGCTGGGCATCCTCTCTAAAGTTGTTTGCTCTCTAGCTCCTCTTTAGGGTTCTTGACATAGAGCAGCCACACTTGTTGTTGGAAACTTGGTGGCATCTCTGAACTTCTGATCTCGCTGGTGATTGGACGTTAGCATGAATGGCATCAGAGTTTAATTTCAGCAGCCTGGATTTTTATAACAGACCTGAGCTGGTGCCTGTCCACCCTGCTCTAGTTAATTAACTTTTCCTTGTCTCTGAACGCTATCTTGATGTGAGGACTTATGTTACTGCTTCTGGGGCACAAATGTTTTGCTGAGCTGCTTAGGAAAGTGTTGTTGTTTTTTTTCTTCTTCTTCCTATCTCCACCCCCTTCAACCTCCCTTTCAGTCAACCGCCTGTTGTGGTCACAATCTCAAATAGCAAAGACAGGGAAATTCCTTGATTATATTTAACCTAGAACGCACTCTTCGTCTCAACCAAGAGGAAAAAAAAAATCATTCACATTCCCTCAGAAGTTTTGCCTACCGCGAGTAAAATAAAATTGCTTTTAATAAGTTATTTCAATGCCCTAGAACACAAACATATTTAAAAAATTTCCTAAAAGAGTTATTAAGATAGAAAAGTACTATATATTTTTGGATTATTTTGAAACATCAAATTGTTTCAAATCATCTGTTAATGAACACACTCTCATTTGTTTCTATTGATCTGTTTCACTTCTCAATTTATGTCTTTTTTTGTTAATGATTTTGGCTTTCTTTTGGTTCAAGTATCAGTACTTAGAATCAAACTATAAAATTGTTCATGTATATGCAAATAAGTATAAATGCAGGAGATGTGTACTTATAGAATATTTCCCTTACTTTCTAACTACGGGTTGTAAATCTACCCTGGTTTTGTGGACTGGGAGATTGAATGAAATATGATTCAGAAGCCAAATTAAAATAAACTACAACAGAACTATATATGTTTGTGTGTGTGTGCAGTTTGTGCGCCCATGTGCCATTGACATTGGGTCTTCCGATCGCCCATTCACCCTCTCCCCACAGGACACCTGTATATGAGTGACATAGTCAGATGTCAAAATTGGGAGACAATCTAAAGTCTTTTTCAGAAAGACTAGACATTTCTTTAAAATAAATTCTGGTTCAAAACATGTTTCACAATTTTTTAAACATCTATTGCTTCAGTCAGGATGGAAGAGAAAATCTATTTAAAACTTGACATTCTCTTCCCTTACTTAGCCTGAGAGTGTCTAACATCTGTGAATTGTGAAATTCACAAACTTGGGGCCTGAGCCCCAGCCAAGTGAAACAGCTTGTGCTGCTACAAAATGTGAAACCGAGGGAAGATCATTGGCTAATTAAGTATAGATTTGCTCATTGAAGTTCAAGTGGTTAACTTTATTCCCTGCCATTGGCATATATTAAATTAAGTTCCTGGATTGAAAATATTCAGTTTCCTTTTAACAGGCCCTCTCTTCGAACTTTTATAAAATGAGGGGTGAAATGACAGTTTCTACTGCCGTGTTTCTCAAATGTTAATATACCGATGAGACACATGTCAAGCCTGGTGTAGTAGGTCCGATGGGGCCTGAGCTCCTGCATGTCACCCTCCCAGGTGGCGATGCCACTGCGGCTCTGGGGTACTACACCTGGAAGAGTAAGTTTTCATGATCTTCTCAGGCCTGGTGTCTCTAATTCAGTCACTCTGCCAAATAGGCAAGAACACCAACCTTTTTAAATACTTAGAAATCACCAGCAAACGTTAGAGACTGTGAACGAAAGTATGAATTTTACACATTCTTTGCCTGTTTTAATTTTTAAATGTTTAATGAGCTAACTTTTCATTATTTTAAGCATCATTGACACCAATTGTTCTAAAACTCCTAAATTTACTTAGCTGAAAGACAAATGGAAAATTGTTGACAAAGAATTATGGAAAATATTGGTCCTGTTACATTAAGAAAATAAATGCAGAGAGTTACTTTGGCCCAAGACACAAAAGCAAGCAGTACATTGATGGCATACTACTATACTGCAACCTGGGGGGAAAAGCGACAATTATACTATAATGATTATAATTGCCTCTTAAATTTATATTACATCCTTCTTCCCCCAGGGGACTCAGGTTACTCTACAAATGCATAAAGTATTTCTTTGGTGCGCACGTCACATGATTTTAAAGGGTCTTAAGCCTTTTAGGCAAAGAATGTACAAAATAACTTACAGAAAAATCTATGAGAAGGTAATTGCCTTGCCCTACCTATTTCTATGATGATGCTTGTGAAGACTTTTGATTTGAAAGAAAGGGTGGAGGAAATAAAGAGCTCAGGGTGGCAGCAGCAATAAAAGTCTGGAACTTTGGACATAATGTAAGAGAAGGGTACACTTTCCCCGTCCAGCTCCTGACAGCTGAGACGAACTCCAGTGTGCACATCGTAAACCCTTTTTACACACATATAAATGACCTTATATCTGCTCTCTTTTAAGCATCGTACAATTCATGTTACATTCTTTTTGGGTGTTCTCTGCCTGAGATCATGCTTCCGTCTAGTCAGGATTGTTTCTAAGACCTCACCTGTGTATACGCACATCCCACAAATTCATCAAAGACCAGTAATTCTCCTTCCCCCTTCCTCGTAGAAGAGACCCCCTCAACCGTTAACACCCTAAATCATTAGATGGGAACTTGGGTAAAAGCATCTCACATTTTACCTATGGATTCCAGTTATTTTTGTAGACCTATCATGTCTAGTACAGGACCGTTATCATCTTGAGGGCAGGTTTAATACACGAGCCATCTCTATATCTTCAGGATCTAGCAAAAGGTCATGTCTAAGCATTGTCCAATGGATGGAAAACATGCTTGTATCTTTACAGACATTATTTAACAACGAGTAAGTATTCCAATGGATTAGAAAATAATATACTCCAACAGAATGGACTCTGTTGGAGTACAGTTTATATACAATGAAATAACTAATTCTTTGCATTAAATTCAAGGTGTTTGGACAAACTATACACTATAATATATCATCTAATCCCATCACAACCAAGACATAGAACTTTTCCATCATTTCACAACATTCCCTAATGCCCTACAATAAACTTATCCTCACCTTAGCCCTTGGCATGCACTGACCTACTTTATAAAAATGTATACTGTAGATTAGGTGTACATTTAGGTATACATGTCTAAAACATTGCTTATCTAATGATACTGTCTTGAGTGATAGAAATGTACTATATCTGCATTGATCAATAGTCTCAGTGTTACAGAGTCCATTCTGACTCATGGCAACCTTATAGGGCAGGACAGAGCTGCCCCTGTGGGTTGACAAGAGTGTACCTCTTTAAAGGAGTAGAAAGCCTGGACTTTCTCCCATGGAACCACTGGTAGTTTCAAACTGCTGACCTTGTGGTTAGCATCCAACCTGCAACCACTACATCATTGGGGCTCCTTGTTCAATATGGACATCCTATAATATTCTTACCACAGTGTCTGGATTTTTCATTAAGCAAGCCATTTCTGAGATAATCTCACATATATATCCATAGCTCTGTTTTGTTGTTGTTGTTTCCTTTCTCTCCCATGCGGAAGGGTTTTGAAATATTTAGGTTGTTTCTAATTATTCTGGTTGGTAAGAGTAAATTCTGGTCTCGGCTACACAATTATTGCCAGAATCAAGAGTCTGAATCAGTTTTAAGAGCTCAATAATCATACAATCCAGAACTGGTTCTTGGTCCTATAGTGCTATTACAAAGCAACTTAGTCCAGCCCCACGGTTTCTATGTTATAGGTAGGACGCCAAGAATCCATTCTTGGGGGAATTCTGCTAGTCCTCTCACTTGTGCTTTCTACGACTCTGACTCTAAGGCTGGGTCAACGTGCACAGTGAATCTAGTAGAATACTTAGTAGGGGTAAAGCTGAGTCTAGAATATAAATTTGCCGAATTGAGATTTTTTTTAACATATTTATCAAAATATTAATGCATTACAAGTTTCGCTATGCGCTTCTTTGGAATGAATTTGAATTCCACGCCTTGAAGCCATTGATAAATACATATTTCCCTCTGATTATGAATGTATGTTTATGTATTTTCAGCTAGGCTTTCAGTCTTCAGAGGAGGAGGAAGATGCTTTATGGAGATGTCCTGAGGAAAGGGCCACACTTCTATTCAGAGGGCATGCAAGGAAACACAGAGGGCAATTGTGGAGGGAGGAGACTGGCAGCTTCCCCCACAGACAAACCTGATACTCTCTGAGCCACACCCAGTGTCCAAGAGCAATGTGGGTGGGCTTCTTTTCCAGACATCACCGAGCAGCTGTGTGGGGGCTGCTCCTCATTCCCACCCCTCCTTTCTCAAAGCCCGCGTGAGGGAGAGATAAATAAGGAAACACAGGAAGTCCTTATTTGGCATTTTCCAGGTTTCCCTAAACATTCAAGAGGCAATTGCAGATATAATGCCTCTTGACTCCAAATACTCGAGTGTGTATTTTCTAACAATGAGGAGTGCTCTTTTAAAAATAATTCAATAAGCACAAATCAAGAAATTAATCTTAATAAGTAATTGATAAAATACTTTATTTATGTCCCAGGCCCTATGAATATGTTTGTGTGCCAAGAAAATCCTTGAGCATATACCCGTTGCATTCAGTTGTTATGCTTCTTCAGTCTTTTAAAAATGAGAAACAGTGCCTAGTCTTTCCTAGTGACAATGAAGATTTCGGGAAGCGTGGGGCAGTTCTTTTATAG